AGAGCATCGTCCAGGAATTCCACGACGTGTTTTCGGACAACTTAGGCAAGTACAAGGGGACCCCTATATCATTTAGCCTCAATCCAGAAGTAGCCCCTATCCGCCTTAAGCCTCGTCGGGTGCCGTTCGCCCTTAAACCCAAGATTGACGAGCAACTTGATAAATTAATAGCCCAAGGGGTGTTGGAGCCTATTGACCACGCCCGTTGGGAAACCCCAATCGTAACCCCCATCAAACCGGATGGGTCGATCAGAATTTGTGGAGACTACCGCGCCACTCTGAACCACGCACTCCAACAGAGCACTTATCCGGTGCCGGTGGTTCAACATCTTCTCCACTCCCTGGGCGGCGGGAAGATCTTCGCAAAGTTAGACTTAGCGCAAGCGTATCAACAACTACCCGTTGATGCGGAAACCGCAGAGGCACAGACTATCATTACACACCGAGGTGCCTTTAAATGCAACAGACTCCAGTTCGGAGTGAGTGTAGCCCCCGGGATATTTCAGAGTCTAATGCAGAGACTTTTACAGGGAATAAAAGGGGTTGTACCATACTTCGATGACGTGTTAATTGCTGCCCCAAATAGAGAAGAGCTTGAAAGGCGTCTCAGATTGGTTTTACATAGATTTAAGGACGCCGGTCTCAAGGTTAAAAAAAATAAATGTCAACTATGCACTGAAAGGGTAGAGTTCCTCGGATACCTCCTCGATAAACACGGTATTCACCCTACCGAAAACAAACTCAGGGCAATCAAGAACGCCCCAAGACCTAAAAATAAGACTGATCTCCAGGCTTTCCTGGGACTTATTAACTTTTACAACATCTTCTTGTCCCAGAAGGCGACCGTAGCTGAGCCCCTACATAGACTTCTCGACAAGAAAGCCACCTGGGTCTGGGGACATCGAGAAGAACACTCTTTTCAAAAAGTGAAAGACTTATTAACATCCGATGCTGTTCTAATGCAGTACAACGAGACTTTACCATTAAATATTACGTGCGACGCATCACCATTTGGGGTTGGAGCCATTTTGAGTCACGTGTTACCAAACGGGCATGAAGCCCCCATTGCGTACTTTTCGCGGACATTATCAAAGGCTGAACGGAACTATAGCCAACTTGACAAAGAGGCTCTTGCTATTGTATCGGCCGTGAAGCGATTCCACGAATATGTGTACGGGCGGCCCTTTACTCTAGTTACAGACCACAAGCCTTTACTTGGCATTTTAGCAGGTGATAAACCAACGCCGCATATATTGTCGCCTAGAATGACTCGCTGGTCAGAATTCCTAGCAGCCTACAACTATGTACTGCAGCATCGCCCAGGGAAAGCCATTCCCCACGCTGACGCTTTGAGCCATTCCCCACTTCCGGAAACCGTCAGCGACCCAGCTCCAACCCTCACCACGCTGCAAATTGAAACCCTCAACTCGCCGCCACTAACGGCAAGAGATATCGCTGCTGGCACAAAACGAGACTCTATCCTCGCAAAAGTTCTCAGTTGGGTCGAACGCGGGTGGCCAGTCGAAGAAACCCCCGCCATTTTTGCGCCGTTCAAGCACCGGCAAACAGAACTATTCTCCCAGAAGGGCTGCATCCTATGGGGAGATAGAGTCGTCGTGCCAGAGAGACTACAGTGACTCGTGTTGCAAACCCTGCACGAAGGACATCCGGGCATCATCCGCATGAAGGCTCTCGCTCGAAGCTACGCGTGGTGGCCAGGCATCGATAAACAAATTGAAGCCTGGGTAACCACGTGTAGAAACTGCCAAGAAGTCAGCAACGCCCCACCGAGAGCAATTCCCACTGAATGGGAAACTCCTCGAGGCCCGTGGTCCCGCATCCACATTGATTTCGCGGGACCCACGAAAGGACACACTTTTCTCCTAACCGTGGATGCTTACTCCAACTGGCTCGAAATCCACAAGATGAAAAGCACGACTACTGACTCCGTTATTAAAAAACTAGATAGATTATTTGCAACACACGGTTTCCCGAACGTTCTAGTTTCCGACAACGGACCCCAGTTTACTGCCCTCACCTTCGAACAATACTTAGCGGACCGGGGCATCCGCCATGCTTTAACTTCGCCAGCTCACCCTGCGGCAAATGGTAGGGCGGAACGGATGGTCCAATTCCTTAAAAAGACACTCCAAAAAATGGATCCGGGGGACATCGACGCTAGATTGAACAAAATACTCTTACTACAACACATTACCCCCCACAGTGTCACCAACAAGACTCCAGCCGAACTTTTAATGGGGCGGAAGCTTCGCTCCCACCTCGACCGATTACACCCGTCTTATTCGCCAGAGAAACCTTGTGGATCCAGCGGAACGTATCGCCAATTCAGGGTAGGCGACTTGGTCTACGCCAAAAACCTTTCCGGTGAACCGTTGTGGGTCCCAGCCACCGTAGTCTACCTCACTGGCCCTAGATCTTACCGCCTTAAGACGACAGACGGCAAGATATGGAAATGCCACATAGATCAACTTCGATCTCGTTTACAACCCAATATCCGCGACCCCCCCGACTTCCAAACTCAAGGGGGAGGGAATACCGAGGGGGACGAAGGCCGTATAGACGACGACGTAATCGAGGACAGACGGCCGCTAAACCGAGTACTCGCGCCACCTGAAGAAGGTCCGGGATCGGGGGCATCCTCCCCGCAGAGGAACACCGTAGTGGAAACATGCCTGCCCAATCCAGGAATGGACTTAAGGGACCCTGATAGTGCCGAAAACAGCACCGCGGAATCAACCCCGGGCGAAGACGAGCCTTGCGTTCCACCGGAACCGAACTTTAAACAAAAACCGGTGGAACAGCGAAAATCAAATAGGCAGGTAAAACGACCTGCATACCTGCGTGATTACGTCACCACGGCCGTCAAACGGAACCCAGGGGGGAGGGGTGTTGTGAACTAAAGAAATGTAATTAATAAAGATTCATTTGCCTAGCAGGATCGTAATCCTGCACGTCCTATTGGCCCATATAATGGCAAGTTACGATTGGTTCATTCCGAGCAATCTGACTGGCTGTTGGCGGGCCGCGCCAAGATTCAAATGCTATAACACTATCCATTGGTTATCTGGATAGCAGCTTACGCTATAAAAGAGTGACTGCTAGCTGGGGTTTTTTTTGTCTCTGTTATGCTTGTGAATAAAGAGCTGAAGTTCAAGGTTGACAGTCTGGTCTCCGTTCATTAAACCCATGCCTCAAACTTAACATCTACTTTTGTCTGAGTTTGCTCCATGTTGGAGAAATCTACAACTGGTTTGTAAAATCTATTTATTATCTTTATAAAGACATTAAATGAAGCATCAGCCATCTGTGTTTATTTTTCTGGCACTGAATTAATGCTGCAAAACTCTGAATAAGAATAACATATGCACAATGTTGGAAACACAACAACATCCCTTCTGAGGAACTGGTAATTCAAAAAATCCTGGACTTTGCCGAAATGGATAGATTGACTCTAAAATTAAAAGATAAAGAGGAGTCGTAATACCATGAAATTTGAGATATGTGGTATAATTGGCTGGAAAATAGGTAATAAAGGAAGTTAAGATAAGAAAACCATAGATAAATGTATATAATCGTATAATATCATATATTAATATAAATATCTAGAAAAGATGGATATGTATGATAATAATGCTACAGTGTTGTTAATATCATGATCATTTTTGCTTTTTAAAATGTAAAAAATGATGTGGACTGAAGATGGTGTTTGATTTCGTTGTATGAGGTGCTATGACAATAAAGTAAACTAAACTAAACTAAAGTAAAAGAACAATAAAATTTATTTTTTTAAAAAGTATTCCATAAAAAAATTCAGATAAACATTCTGTCCTCAGGATTCTTGTTATCTTAAAAAAAGAAAGCAATGGCAGGGCAAATTCTGAAAATAAAGTATTAGCTGAATAGATCACTTTTCTACTGAAACAAATTTTAACGGTTTGGAACAGCAATCACAGAATTCACCTAAAATTAAAACTGAGATTCATATAAAGATTCCTATCAACAGCAGGAAACTGAAATAACTTGGTTATTATTAACAAAATGTCTTGTGGCAGAGGGATGTTTTTACACCTTATCTGTCCATAGATATCACCTTAAGCAAAATTCAGCATCCGTTCAGAAAATCTCATTCAATAATAATAGTTGACATTTTAAAGAGCACTCTAATAAATGTTGATCAGTGTAATTCCTCAAGGTTTTTTGCATATGGTAATACAGATGTAGTGGTGAATACTTCTGATCCATAACCAGTTTCTCTTGTTTATATGGTGAACCTCAGTATAATGAGTGTTGATATAGTAAGGGAGGAAAAAATGACTTCCTAAGGGGCTCTGCAAAATTTTTGTCATGGTCTGACCCTTGTTTGTAGGCAATATTTTGATGATCTGAGATTCTGTGAAAGATAAAGAGACAATCTTGGAGGGACTTTTTATTCAATTATTTGGGAACCAATCCAAAGGTTATCAATACATGAGTTACTGAAGAGTTTTCATTCAGAAGTTAAACTTTTCATTGAATAATAAAAAGTCATATTTATTAAATATAAATTTAATAAATAAATAACAATGTAAGAAAAGAATGTAATCATTTTCAGTCACTAAATTCAGTGTCAGTAATGTATAAAATACATACAATCTTGCATATTTTGTCTTGTACTTTCTGTAAATGCATGAGTATAAGCTCCAGCTTGCACAATATTAATGCAATATCCTTTTTAAAGATGTGTAATGTCATTGTTGAAAATTATATCTGTGCTTTTTAAGTTAACACATTATTTCCTACAGAGAAATGCCTACAGAGAAGTGTCTTTTGCAAAGATATTTCTGTGTTGAGTATTATAATTTGCTATAACATGGTGAAGTAGTATAAGATACTATCCAGATGATGGCACTATTGTCATATCTATCACAAGAAAAGCACAACTTTAATAGAGAAAATAAAAAACATTTCTCAGGATATCATTATTACAATAAAAAGATTACCTTTGGGGGTATTGTTTCTTTGCTTCTTGGATTATCTTTGGGCCAAGTAAATCCCTCCATTTTTGGATTGCATTCTCTCGTACCAAAGCAAGAGCAAGAGTTGGCCCACTATTCAAAACAAATATAGCAGAATTTATGTATGTATGTGTGTGCGTGTGTGTATTTTTCTGAATGAATATAAATTCAGTAAAAAACATTCTGGAATGTAACCAATAAATATTCTGGAAAAAAAGCTAGGATTTCTTCATAAAATTAAAAGTGTTTACAATTATAAGTGAAACCATACAAATCCATTTAAGGAAAAATCCCCAGAGTGGTAAATATTGACTCTAAGGGTTGATGAGATTTTCCTTTATTAGAGTTGTTGTTAAAGCGATACTATTAAAATTGCTTTCACCTAAAACATCTTTTGGGAGTCAATGAACAATCTCAAATTTCATGAAGAGTCAATGAGCTGTAGAGTTGGATACCCCTGGTTTAAGATATCAGCATTAGTGTAAGTCCTCATCAGAACTGATCATATTTAGACAGACTGCTTCTCAACAAATTACAAATCCATACCATTTCTATTATTTTAAACTTCCTTAATGACTTAACTAAAGTTCTCCAGGAGCAGCCTATAATGATAGTTATAAGTACTACTACTGCTAACAAAAAGACATTTTTCACATAATTTTTGTCTTAAGAATATTTTTCCTTTTTTAAAAAAATTTATTGGTTTTTTAAAAACAAACATAAACAAACAAAACATAAAAACATCAAGCTATCTTCCATAGGTGTACATACAGTGTGCTGGTTGGTTTACAAATTGTTTTGTGCTTCCATTTTGTAGTCTTCAATTACAATTACATTGCATATAATCTCATATTGTCAGTCAAAAATTAAATACCTTAGTATCCTTATTAATCAATCATTTGACTATACTTTTATTCATTCATGTTTTACAAGATAACCATAATTTACTTAGTTCATATTATCATCCCAAATCTATCCTAAAATCATTTTGTAGATATAATAAGAAAGAAGTACATCTTTATATATTTATTATTTTCTAAAAGTCTATATATTTCATTACTGTATTTTATTGTCTAACCATTGATAGAAAATATCCCAAATTTTATAAAATTGTTTATCCTCTTGTTCTCTAATTTCAAATGTCAATCTACTCATTTCAGCACATTCCAATATTTTCTTAATGATTTCCTCCTGTGATGGTATTTTCTCACTTTTCCAGTTTTTAGCAAATACAATCCTAGCTGCTGTTAATACATTTACAATCAGGTATTTCAAATCTTAAAAAAAAAAGAATATTTTTTCTTTACATTCAAAAATTTTATCTAAATTAATTCAGAAATTCATCCTTGGTCAGGAGAAGTACAATGATTCTGAAAAAGCCTGAACACAAAGAGTTTTATAATAATGTCCGTGGTGCAAGTTCTACCACTGAAAATTGCTAAATTAAATTGATATAGACATTGTGGCTGCACAATGAAATCAAACATTGGGCAATAACAGGTATACCCACAGGGACTGAGACAAAAGCAGTCAAGGTGATGGCCTCAATCCAACAATTGAATTTCTGCCCTCCTTGCATGATCCTGGTTAGTAACAAGATTTACCAAGGAGCCCACAGTGCTAGAAGTTGAACTCTGAGAAATTCTTGCAGAGTTTTGGTGCTCATCATGGTTTCATAGCTTCTGCATATAACATATATGATACCTATGATTTCCCATTCTACAATAACATAAGATATTTACTCATGGAATGCTGTAATGTAGAAAATGTATTTAACTTGGGTACCTGGTCATTTGATCCAAAAGATATGGAAAATAATCTTGATTTTCACTTTCTCGATAGAATTCACGAGCTTGTTCTTCTGATAAAGTGATTTCCTTTTGCATGGCTATTTCAAAGCCATTTTCCACAATTCTATTCAGAATAGATTCTGCATAACAAAAATTATATTGACCACATTACTTTTCTTTATGTATAAATGGGGGTAATCTAAATCGGGGGTCTCCAACCTTTTGGACCTCAGGGACCACCAAACTCATAATTTTAAATCCCGCAGTCCACTAATATGAATTTTGACTGACGGTGGCTTGCTGACGGTGGGGGGGTGGGAGAGAGAGAGAGAGAGAGAGAGAGAGATCCGATCTAACCTTGGAGGGCTGGCGGTGATGTTCTCTCTCTCCCTGTTCCTCCCCCCCCTCTCTCCCTCCCTCCCTCCCTCCCCCCCCTCTCTCTCTCTCACACACAAACACATATACACACCCTGGGAAAATAAAAAAAAAGTCTGCAGAAAAATTCCCCACCCTGTTTTCCTATCGATCGATCATTCTTTATTTGGGATCACAGGATACTGTCTCCAGCTTTGTTCTCAGGGGAGAGAGAGAGAGAAAGAGACTTTTGGCTTCATGCAAGGAAAGCAACAAAAGCAGCAGAAGTCTTTCTTTCTCTCCCCCAAACTCCAGCAGAAATGTGACTTTGCCGTCACAGCTTCTTGGAGCAGGATGCCTTCCAGGTCCCAAAGATTTGTTTCTGGTGGAGTTTGTGGGAGAAAAAGAAATACTTGCTGCTTTCCTTGTGTGCAGCCAAAAGCAGAAGAAAGAAGAAGCATAAAGAAGCAGCCCGGTGGCCAGGCAAGGTGCATGGGGCAAGTGGGGCAAGTTCCCCGCCCCCACCCTTTCCCCTCCCCTGACTACATCGTGTTGTTCACAATGCAAGCAACACAAGCCTTGTGTTCCTGTGGGCCAGGTAGGTGGCACAGCCTTGTGTTCTTGTGTTCCCGCGCAGCCTGATTAATTGCTTTGGGGGTGACATTTCTCTGCAGACCACCCAAAAATTTCCCCAGACCACCAGTGATCTACGTCCCACCAGTTGATGACCACTGATCTAAATGACTGGTGCATCTCTAATATGAGGATGAAACAGCTTCACTATCCTATCAATTTTGGCCTCAAATCCAGTAGTGGGCTGCAAATTTTTAAACAACTGGTTCTCTGCCCTAATGACTGGTGGGTGGACATGGCTGGGTGGGCGTGGCTGGGTGGGCATGGGTGAGTGGGTGTGACTAGGTGGGTGTGGCTGAGTGATCATGTGACTGGGTGGGCTTGACGTCACTTTGCCTAAAAAAAGATATACCAAAAGGTAGTTTATTATTTCATGCATTTAATACTTAAATAAGAACAATAAAAGATGTACACAAATACTTAAGAACAATAAAAGTGTTATTCAGCTTTAAGGTATTTCCAAACTGCTGTGTAATTGGCATCTTCACTTTCATTTTTCTTCAGTCTTAACCCTCGAACATTATCAGCTGTATGATGTGCTTGCAATCATTTTTTTTACTGTAGAAATATGGTCCCATTCTTTTATAGGTAGGCCAATTACACTAATGGTCCTTAGGTTTGTTATGTTGGAAACAGTTAGATGGCTTCTCTGAACATATGATATTCATTTTAGAAAAACCCCTTTCTGCTTCTGCTGAACTTACAGCAATTGTCTGACAATATTTTTAGCTTTTTGAATACTGCAGGAATTGTATATTTCTGGGAATCTTTTAAAACATTTTTCACAAAACCTCAATCATTAATATTAATTTCATAAATAAAGATGTCACTAAATGCAAGCAATTGTTCTTCAGCTGCTTTCCATGGAACCATCACCTCTTCAATATTCCAGTAATCTAGCTCCAAAAAAGTGAGGAATTGTAAATAAGTCCTGTCTGGCAATTGATTACCTGTTTTTAAATGTTCACAGTCCATTAGTCTTCTATTTAAATTTGTTATGATGCTTTCTAAAAGTCCCAAAGGAGATTAACGAATCGATGATTTTTAAAATATTTTTTATATTTTTGAAGGTTTCTGAGGTAATTAATCCATCCACTTTTTTGTATGCACCCTTTTTTAAGCTTTTTAAATGCTTTAATTGACCTTATCATAAGTTTTTCAGTCTTTATGATGTCTACATTACTTGCTTGCAGTGCATTTGAAAGAAGAGAAATTTCATTTAGAATGTCAATCATTAGTGCCAAATCAATCATAAAATATATATTTTCAAGAAGAGCAGCCATACTTTTCATTTGAATGAAAATACTGATGTAGCACTGGATAAGTGTGCCAAACAGCCAGGGTTGACCTTCAACTACAGGCAGCCCATCTTAGTCCGAAAACTCTACCAATCTTTATAATTTCAATCCCAAATTGTTTGGATATTTTGAAAAGTTCAGCTTGGTTTTTATTGGATTGATGAAAAATAGTATACAATAAATATCAATAAAAATGTTAACATGATTTACTTGCTTTGTTTCCTTTATCGAATCATCTAAAACAAGTTGGAGGTGATGGTTTAAGCAGTGCCATATTATGATGTTTGGAAACTCTTTTGCTATTCTAGTGCTCACTCCAGATTTTCTCCCAAGCATAATGCTAGCACCATCGAAGCAAAATCCTATTAATTCCCCCTCCCCACAAGTACTTTTTAGTAAACCCAATATTATTTAAACTTTCAATAACTGAAGAACATATTGTATCTGCATCTTGTTTTTTCTAATTCAACTAGCTCAACAAAAATTGTTGGTGAAGTAACTGAATCCTCAACTTTCAAGTAAAGTATAAGAACTGGTTTGCTAGATCACGTTAAAGCTTCATCAATAATCACATATTTTCAGATTATTTTCAATAATTTTAGTAAATAATTTTAATTTTGAAAGAAATCATCCATAGCAAAATGACTGATTCATGTGCAGTTAGATATTTGCTGCTTGAGAATATTCATGTATAGATGATTATTTGAAATACACAATATATTTCTGTGATAGCTTTCTGATATATGGGCAGCCTCTTATTAACTCCCAATATTCAGAATAATATCCATACTAGCGGGGGGATTCATAAAGGTTTCAAGGTTGGAAAAGGCTGTTCCATAATATTTACTTGTTGAGCTCTCCAATAGTAGTTTTCCTTTAAGCTTTTAATTAATTTGGGTTATGGCTCATACATTTTCATTTATACTCATGCAAGAAAGAAAAAGAAAAAGAATAAATCTGTATGTTTCAAACTACACCACATTTTAAGTGTGCATTTCTTTAGATCTTTTTGTTTAAAAATGCTCAGTTGTTTTTATTTTATCTTTTATATGTAAAAAGATGAGTTAAAACTGTAACATATACATTTAAAAATAGTGTAAATCTAACAAAGAAACATGCTAGGACTTTGAATCAGAATAGGTTTCTCAAGCTAGAAAAGGTAATTTTTCAGAACATGCAATCATTTGTCTAAAGTACTGTCAGCTCTTAGCCAATAAAACACCACCACTTCCACCTTTCTTCCACTTTCTTTTTATCAGACCCTAGTAAGAATAGCAAAGTGCCATATATTTCAGTTGAAGTGCCTGTAATAATTTCCACCAACCTCTTCTTTCTTTTAAAAGGGAAGGTCTGATCAATGCCAGTGTTCGTTCAACAAATTTTTCATTCCTTTGCTTGGAAAAATCAGAGAAAAAGAAGGCAAGTTGCCTGCTTGTTTCTTCAACACGATCCTGAATATCACAGTGATGTAACAGGTCTTGATTTTGCAACATCTCTTTCAAACTAACAAAAAGGAAAATAATGTAAAATGTATTTAATATTAACATAGGACTTACTTTATCATCAACAGCTTCAAAATTAAATACTCTGATCCTGAAGCCAAATAACAAATATTATATGTCAACATATCAAAGGAAAAAAAGAGATGCAAAAGTGGTGTCAGTATTATACTGAACAAGGTAAATGCTTCCTCAAGTCCTTTGGCAACAACACAAAAATGATTTGCCATTGCTTTTTTCTGATGTGCTTCTTCAACTTCCCAATTTAGTCTTTTGGCCTGGGATTTCCAAATAGTCTCCCATTCAGATACATAACAATATAATAACTGATTTATGCTTGTGAGATTAGCCAAGGTTGCTATTGGCTGTAACAAAATATGAGAATAGCAAGCATTTAAAAAAAATTCCCCCTGAAAATTCTGTCAACATTCTGATGAATTGACTGTTTTAGATGTGGTCCAAATGAATTAGTGAACTGCCATTCTGATTTTTGAATTACAAAATGTATTCAAATAATACACATTACAGTACTGATAAATTTTGGTTAACATCCTCTTTCCTCCTCCCTCCTCCTCTTTCAGATTATCAGAACACATTGGGGCATATATTCATCACAACACAAAAATCAAATCTTTTTGTGAATTCATGGTCTTTTTTCCCCTTCTATTTTAATGAGTTCTTGCAAATTTAGGAGGACACCATTAGTTTCTGAAAGATGTTAAAGCCGAAGCAACCTATATGGGAGCAAGCTGATTGTGATTTCTATTATTTCATTGAATACCAGGTTTGATTTTAGTTTGATTTGATTGACTTTCCTTGTTCACCACTACATATGAATCCTTTTCAAAGTTATACATTTTGGTGGAAATGACATTTATTCCAAATGGAAGGAGGGGACCATCCTTTAGTCGGGGATATGACAGTTGACCTTGTCTGTTGTGTCTAAATAATAAATTCTGCAAAAACCAATTAAAGCCTCAATGCATTAAATCCTTTCAGCCCCACAATGATCCTGTGATATATTATAAATCTAATCTTTAAAGTCTGTCTAAATTATAGCCATTAAACAAGTAATTGGATGAAACCAAGCAATTTTAGATTAGATTGGAGAACAAGACATTTAAGGCTATAAATCCCATTTATTTCAGCAAAAATTGTCTTCAGTGAACAAATGGTTGGATCTAATAACTTAACAGGATTTATATTAGACTAATGTAATGCATTTGGTTCAAATGAATCTATTTTAAGTCAGAATTCAGTCTGATACTAATTGTGAATTATGAACTTACAAAATAAATATTTATCTCATATATGCATACATATAAACATACATGACATACCCAATTACAGGTGTCACAGAGTGTTTCCTCCATGCCTCAGATAAAAATTCTCCCTTTTCTTTCATTTCTCCCTCCTCCTCCTCCTCTTCTTCCTTTGTCTCTTCCTCCTCTTCTTCCTCTTCCTCTTCCACTGCTTCCAATTCATGTAAAAAAGGTATACTTTGGCCATGCTTTCTTTCAGATATTATCAGAATATAGGAGGGTGCAGACAGCATATATAAAACAAAGTCTTCAAAATCAGGCTGGAGGAAAAATGTTTTGTGTTAAATACTAAGAAAGATGCTGACCTCATTGCATTCATCCTGTTATTAATGAGATATAAAATATCACTATGTATATTACCAATTGTCTAACAACTTCTTAATTAAAACTATAACAAAATATGAGATTTTAGTTAGTGAGAAAATGTCATGAGTGGGAATTTGTGCTCTGTATGTCTTTCTTTTTAAGATATCTTAAAAATTTATTCCTAGCAGATGATGCTTTTGAAATTTTACTTCCTTGGTCTTCCAACATAATGATGCCAGCTTAGTTCCTAAACCTTATTCTAGACTGTTTATTTCTCACATTTCTATACCTCCCATCTCACTAAGACCAGAACAGTTTACAATATAAGCATTAAAATGGTATAAAGCTTTAAAAAACACAAAGATAAAACAGAATTAAGAACAAAGTTAAAATTATAATATTACAAATTTTTTAAAAGCATGGGAAGTAGCTCTCACATCAGCATCTGTCCCCAGAGTTACATATCACTCTTCAATCTCTACGATAATTGGCAGAGCCAGGTCTTAATACTCTTTTGGAACCCCCTCTGGGGGTAAGATATCCCAGAGGGCAGGGGAACGGCAGAGAAGACTCTCTTCCTGGATTCCAATCAGGGCTTCTCGATCCAGAAAAGAACATAACTAGCGTACAACATACAGTTGAGTGAAGACCTTTCTAGCCATTACTGCTACCTGCTCTTCAAGCAGGAGTTGTGAAACTAGAGGACACTCATATTATATACCAGGTACATCTAGAACAGTGCAATTTCATCCAGGGCCAAAGAAGGTAAATTCTCATACACAGAGGAGTCTTCTACATACAGTCATTCCATTCAGTTGTAGCCTATTGTTCCCCTCCCAGATCATACATACCCCAATATGTATGTTAGAAAGATGTTACAGATGTAAACATCATATAGATGTTAGAAAGGTGCTAGACCTTTCACTTCCTATCACCAATTGGGACCAGTCCCAGAGTAAGAAAGTGAACCAGCATAAGACTGTGTCTCCCACTCCAACGTTAATTCTAAAGAAAACCATGATCAATGATATCAAAAGCTGCCAAGAAGTCAAAAAGAGCCGATTGAACACACTACCTCCATTTTATTCCTGCCTGCTCCTGGTCATCAACAAGTGTGATCAGTGCTATTTCCATCCTGTATCTGTGCCTGAAACCTGAGTGGAAGGGGTTAACATAATTTGTTTCATTCAGGATCCTCTGAAGCTGCAGCATTACTTTCTCAACCATTTTTCTAAAAGTGGGAGGTGGAAGTTGGATAAAAGTTAGCAGGAATAATAGAGTTCAGAGATGGCTCCTTGAAAAGGGGATATAATGTACTTATCATCCCAAGTATCCTGATGACTTCCTTACATCCAGCAGGATCAAACTATTCCCAGTTAATGGATAAGATTGTTCCCCAAGAATCCCTAGTAAACCCATGCCTTACTTGGTCTCCAACTGAGAATGGATCTCAGCAATTTTGTCAGCCAGATGCATTGAAAATTCCTCAATACAGCTCCAACGTTGAACCTTAGAGTCCCCTTTACCCAAAAAGGATCAGAAAACCAGGCTGATCAGGCAACACTTTGTGGACTCAGTAAGGATATTTGAAGTTTTTATTAGTATTTGTTCTTAATTTTAATGTACAATTAATGTAAACATTAACTGTAATGTTCAGTAAAATTACTATGATGGATAAGCTATCTCATTAGATAGAACAGGGATACTTCTATCCATTGTTTGTTACATTAGTTTTACATGCTTAAAAAAAAAAATAAAGACCTAGTTTCTTATCTTCCAGATCCAGGAAAATAAAAATCCAGATCTTACTCATTTATATTATTGCCTCATTTCCAGCCATTCTTAAACTTTTTCCAAATGTTAAGTGCAGCCCTTCCCATCAAAGCTTGCGTAGTACTGTCATGTCCTGCTCTTTAGGCAGACCAGATGAAAGTGCTTTGTAAAATGAAGGCTTCCCTAACTAGCTTTGCCTCAAACAGAATACAATTGCCATGTCTAAGCAGCATACCTACCTAATAGCTCCTCTGAATAGGAATGATTGATATTGATATTCAAAACCAGAATTGTTTATTTATTACATAAATTCTCCATCATTTATTAAGAAGATCACTATTTCCCTCTTACTTTTCTCCCAATAACTTTGTTAGGTTGAATGGCAAGAGTCCATTTTCATTCTAATCTTCCCTTTCTTCAGAGTCTTCTTTGATTATGATTGCTAAAAACACTAGGCTCAACAATTGCTTAGATCTTATCTTCTGCAATAGCTTAAACTCAGTTTATGGCCTACAAATTAAAGAACCCTTTTCCAACAGTGATCACAGCATGATTGATCTTTATCTCAATTTGTGTCCTTGCAAAGAGGGTCAAAATGATGGGACCCCAAATTATAACTTTAAAAAAGCCAACTATGATCTCATAGCTGCTGACCTCGCATCTCTTGATTGGCACCTTCTGTTCACATGTTGTATAACTGCAGAAGCCCATTATAACACTTTTTGCTCGAAGTCAAAAGAGTCAATAATCTATATGTACCACAAAAAAAAACTCCTAAAGCAAAAAACAAAACAAATTACCCATAACAATAAGAAAGTTACAATCCAAGAAAAAATCTCTTTGGTGAGAAAACAAAACTGGCTATGTAGCTAACTTTTAAAAATGGTACAAAATCTCATGCTGCCATATAAAGGCTGAATGTACCAATCACCATTACAAACAGGAGGAAGAGCTCTTGAACTCCTCCTGAGCCTTCAATAATTTTGTAAATGCCAAACTTAAAGACTCAAAAACTATCCCACACCTAAAAGGGCCTAACAGGGAAGACTGTAACAATGAAGCTGTTAAGGCTAACTTCTTTAATACATTCTTCAGTTCAATCTTTGTCGATAGCAATGGCTGTTGCCCCCCATTCCCTAGACATACCACAACAAATTGTTATTTGATTTACTACATATTGACTTTACAATAGATAACATTGAAACAGCACTATGTAACCTAAAGCCATCTCTATCTATTGGCCCTGATGGATTATGAGCCTACTTTTTGAAAAAGCTTGCCACTGCCCTAGCTGAACCTCTATGCACAATCTCTTCTTTCAGAACCAGCTCCTTGCCTGACTTATGGTCATTAGCCACAGTCATACCTATTTTTAAAAATGGAGACTGTTGTCTAGTAGAAAATTACAGATCAATCTCACTGTGTTGCGTCACCTGTAAGGTCATGGAATCAATTATAAACCAATCCATCACCCTCCACTTAGAAATAACAATCTGCTTTCTAACAAGCAGTTTGGTTTCAGCAAAAAATTGTCCTGTAATCTGCAACTCCTACACTGCAGAAACATTTGGACCAGACATCTTGACCAGGGCAAAGTAATAGATGCAATTTATATTTCTTCAAAGCCTTTGATTCAGTGGTGTACGACAAACTACTGTTGAAACTAAACTCTTACTGCATCTCCAGATCCCTGCACAAATGGATAGTTGCGTTCATGTCAAACAGGCAATAAACAGTCAAAATAGGGAGGGCCCTATCAAATCCGGCACCAGCTAACAGCGGTGTCCCCCAAGACAGCATTTTAGGACCCACACTTTCTGCTTTACATAAACGACTGATGCAATCATATTAAAAGCAGCTGTGTCCTCTTTATTTAACACCACTGCCCTACAAAGCAACCTTGACTGTGTGTCAGAATGGTCACATAATTGGCAACTCCAAATTTGAACTAATAAATGCTCTGTCTACACATTGGCAATAAAAATCAGAACACCAAATACAAGTTGGACAGAAACAATCTTGTAGATGACTCTCACTCTGTCAACAACCTAGAGTACTCATCTCAAATGATCTAAGCCCCAGAGTTCACTGTAAGAGCATTGCCAAAAAGGCATTAAGAGTTGTTAACCTTATTTTGTGAAGTTTCTTCTCTGGTAACATTGAATTGCTAACTAAGGCATACAAAACCTTTGCCAGACCAGTTCTTGAATACAGCTCGTCTGCCTGGAACCCACACTGTATATTGGACATTAACATGATTGAGTGGGTTCAGAGGTATTTCTCAAGAAGAGTACTCCTCTACTCAATAGAATTCCCTATGCCTCCAGTCTCGAAATTTTGGGCTTGGACAATCTGGAACTGTGCCACCTGCGGTCCGATCTAAGCATAGTACACAAAATCATCTGCTACAACATCTTGCCTGTCAACGACTTCTTCAGCTTCAACCACAATAATACACGGGCAAACAATCAATACAAACTCAAGGTAAACCACTTCAAACTCGACTGCAGAAAATATGATTTCAACAACAGAGTTTTCAACACCTGGAATGCTCTACCCGACTCCGTTGTTACAGCCTCAAACCCTCACAGCTTCAATCTCAAACTGTCTACTGTGGACCTCACCCCATTCCTTAGAGGTCCATAAAGGGGGCATGCATAAGTGCACCAGCGTGCCTACCGTTCCTGTCTTATTGTGCCCATTTATCTGTATTTACTTCCTTTGTTCATGTTCATACTTATACTTGTTATAATGTTTGACAAGCAAATAAAATAAAAATAAGTCATGCAGGAGAGCATATTATAACAATGCCACATTGCACACATGCTCTTACTTTCAGCTCTAGTTTAATCATTAAAGCCAAATAATCATGAGCTTAGAGAACCAAGGGAAGGGAAGCACCAAAGACTTTCACCCCACCACTATCATGCCCTTAATTCTTTTACTGCCACACTTGTCTTTAGTCATTAATTTTGTCCTTGTCTGCTGGGTTCAACTTTAATCTATATTATTAAAAAACACATTTTCTTTGGCATGGTTTGTAACTAAATTTTAAAGGTTTGGTTTGAAGGTGGTGTCAAATATAACATTTATTTCTGTCTCAAGCATGGGGTTTTCACTTTTGTTGAGGCTGCATCATTATTGGACTAGGCTTAAGACATCAGTTCACTTTAATCTATAC